GCTGTTGAGCCTGGCGTTGCTGATCGCAGTAAATCAAACAAAGGGACTTTCCCCCTTGCTTTAATATTTATTTGGCAGTGAATTTTTAATAGAGAGGCACTTTCACTGTCATCCTAGGAATGATGAGTGGGCAGAAGGGAAGGAATAAACAGAGCAATGGATGCAGAGCACTGGGGAAGTGACGAGAAGTGGGAGAAGGAGCATGGAAAAAGAGAAGGAAAGGGAACGGGGGAGGAGAAAAGAGGGTGATATGCACTGCTGCATCTCTATTCGAGAAATATTCTCAGAGAGCAGCAGCTCCGAGCAGCCCCTTGCTTCTTCTTGTGCATTTACCTTCATTGTCCCTCGCAGCAGGGAGCAGCCCACACACAGCAGGGAAGCAAACAGGCCTGGGAAAGTCTCTGACCCAGAGCGCTTCTGCCCTCCCAGACTTCATTTCTCATATTCAGCCTCTCCAGCAAAACCAATAAATTAATTGATGGTTTGTAGAAAAGCTGACTTGGCAAAAAAAAGTTGATTCTGGTCCAAAATTTGGTGCTGTGTGTGTGACTGAGAGAAGAGGATAGAGAGATACTGCAGGGAGACAGATACCATGGGCTAGATAAAGAGATGGTGTGGAGAGATATGGTAAGTGCTTTAGATAGATGACGAGAGTTAGATAGAGTGGATATATAGTTATAATTAAAGAGATAGATACTGTGAGTACACATAGGAAGATACTTTGGACAGAAATACTGCAAATAGATGTTGCAGGAAGAGGGATATTGTTATATAGACAGACACTATCTGGGAAAGATGGATAAGGCAACAAATAATGCTACAACTAGGCACAGAAAGATTAATTCTGTTGATAAAAAATCTATAAATAAATGCTACAGAAAGATATTTCAGGTAGCCTGTCATCTATGAATATTTGACACACACATCAAAGAACCTGTATAGTAGTACCTCATCTAAAATAAAGTAACTAAGCAGCTACTAGATATGCATATGGTCATACCAGTAAACATTTAAGAGATTTTAGCAGCTGCAGCAAAACCAGCACTTTAGTACCTGACAGGTTCATTATTGATGGTCTGGCAAGAGCATGGCAGAAAAGGCCAGGCCAGCAGGTGGGCAGTTAAGGACTAAAGCAACATTGGGTAAGTAAATGGGAAAATAGAGTGTTTGGATTTCAGAGTCAGAAAACGGACACAGTCCAGGTTTGAGTCTCAGTTCTTTAAAACAGGTTTACCAACGTTTCCAAATTGTTTTCAGGCCTGACCTGAGCTGCCCTGCCACACGCTGCTGCTCTAACCCCACAAGACCCTGTAAGGAAGAGTATTCCTGGCATTCCTCAGTTTCCCTAGTGACCACAGTGAGCAGCCAGAAGTCCTGATGCTGAGTGGTCCTGGCACCAACACAGAACGTCCTGTTCTCCTACATGCTT